AAGATGGTGCCTCCCCCACTAGGCCCCATCAATTTTATACGTACTTGGCGCCTCATCCCCAGGCGCCATCAATTTACAGCACGTGTAAAACGCTGCAGCGGGTTATTGTGTTGTAAAAAATTTCAGTTTGTTGTGTTGTAAAAAAATTTACTTCGTTCCGGTGACCCAGCGGTACCTCCCATTGCAAGTGAGTATTATATTTGGTTTATTGTATTTTTCATATTTAATTTTTAGAATATAGTGTATTATGATTCAAAGATAAAATAGAATGTTGTAATAATTTATAATTTAAAAAAAATAGAAATGGTCTGATACCTAGGTTGTTTAGATGTGAAACGGCCCTTTCTCAAACGAGAACGAGCATTCCGGATGCAAAAGTAAGAAAATATAAGTGCAATCAGAACGGCTCGTTCTTATTGTACTCATTATGTGTTAATTTTGCATAAGAATGGTCCGTTCTGGTTTTAAAACAGGTTGTTCCAGTTGCAAAATTAACAACATATGAGTGCAATCAGAACGACCCGTTCTTAAAGCAGAATGGCCCGTTCTAGAACCAAACTTAACACACCACAAGTGCAATGAGAACGGGCCGTTATCAAAGGAGAAGGGCTATGACAGCTCAACAAGTTGCTGAAGTTAGAGAAGAGGAGCCATTATCTCCGCTGTCACCCCCAACATCGAAACTTGCAGATGACAATGACGAGGAGACATTTAGGGCACGTGACATTGGCCCTCTTATTCCTAGACCTGCTGATTTGGTCCAAGATGCCATGAGGAACAGGCAATCTGAAAATCCCTTACCAACACAACAGTTCTTGTCTGATCTTAACGGAGCTGCGATGATGGTGTTCAACACTAACCTGTGGTGTTATGCAATTCATTATGTGAAATCTAGAGGTTTGTTATCCATATTAAGTTTCATGTGTGTAAAAGTAATCATGCAAATAATCTTATATTTTTTTTGTTTTATTAACAATAGAGCTACCAGAAGTGATGACATTGATTAATATAAACCACAATTTAGAAAGAATTGCAACAGTTGTTGCTTTTGTGGAGTCTATGAGCCCAACTAGAAATGAGAATTATACTATTAATTTAAAGGTATGCTTCACTACAAGAAAATTCGGTATTTCAAACGGCAAAAATCCGTGGGAAATGCCCAAAATCCGTGGGTAATGAGGCATTTTCGACGGATTACCGACGGACACTAATCTGTCGGTAAATTGGTCGTCTGAAATTTACCCACGGATTTTTATCCGTGGGTAACTTTCCCACGGATTTTCCCACGGATTTATCCGTGGGTAATTTCCCACGGATAAATCCGTGGGAAATTACCCGAAAATTATAATTTTTTTTAAATTTTAATAAATTTATTAATGTAACAACCCTCATATTTGGCCTCTCAAGGGTTCTATTTCACGATATTTCATTGTTTAGTGTGTTTTATCCTTACTTGTGCAATTTCTGGGAAACTTCCCAGAAGGTCACCCATCCCTGTACTACTCCAGGTCAAGCACGCTTAACTGTGAAGTTCTTATGAGTAAGCTACCGAAATGTATATGTATGTTGTCAGTATAACTTGTACAAATTAATTCATTTAAGTCAT